TCTGTAAACCTAGAACTATTTCAAAATAAAAAGTTTGTTCAAAATTATATTGAATTTAATAGGATATACTTTTAAATCATTTATAAATATTGTCCACTCTTGATAACCCAGAAGAAATTTCTCTTAGACCCCTAATGTTAGAAAAAATTCTACTTCTGAACAGTAGGCAGGTTTTTACCTGTTCACTCAGTTAACCCTGATTAAGTTCTATCTTTGCTTTTGCCAATAGGGAGCTTGGAAACAAATTTAGTATTAATAGTAACGATGAAGAACCTTACAGCTTCTATAAAATTCTTAGCTTGAACTCATTTATTCTATTATTTTCACTCCATTCTGATTTTTTTCTACTTTTTAACACTGCTTTTCTCTTATCAATTAGCAGTCACCTCAAATCTCTTTAGAGGGAGGATTTATACATATGAATATATTTTTGTCTGATTATACAAAATTTTATTATTTTAACGTATGACTTCTCATTTCTCATGTTACCAAAATTCTGGACAGTAACCCACTCCACAGCAAAAACGTGGCAAATTACTAAAGCATTCTGCTTCAGTCCTTGAATTGCTAAACGGTAATAACACCACCTGTTGCAAGGAGGGTCTTGAGGATTAATGGAGCTACCATTTATTAATACGCCTAGCACAGATAAAGGGAAGGCACTCAATAAATGATAATTACCATTATTACTATTATTAAAAAAAATAACAATATTTTCATTAATATAATGAAAAGAAATAGAGCTGAATGACAAATCAGTCATGGGCCTGGTGGTGATTTTTTCAGTGACCCAGATAACCAAAAGTAGCTGCCCCAGGGTAGAGGGCGGTAGGGGGGAAGAACTGGAGGCTAGGAAAACAGAGGAGGAGGAGGAAGAGCTCCTACATACTCTCATTGCCAGAAGTTTGAAAGCTTTAAGACAAGGTGAAATCCAATCCCTTGTTAGTCTTGACTCCACTAGAATAATAAAAAGGGGGGAAAAACCCCTCTAGCGTTTTTGGCACTCATTTCCCCCAAAGCCTCCCAAAATAATCACATGTAAGAGCCAAATAAACACCAAATCTGAACCTCTCCTTAGCCCAGAGGGTGCCAAGTTGGTATTCCATTGCCCAAAGTTTTTTTTGGCATTGGCACATTTATCTCCCTTATTCTAGAAGAGGGAATAGACAATGTGGATTTTTCATTAAAAGAACTCTTTATCGTTTAAATACTGTGTGCTACATATTTTATCCAGAGTCCCTCTAACTCTCTCAACAGCCCTTACAGATGAGGGAATGAGGTTGGGGAGGTAAACAATTTGCTCCAGGTTCCTGCAGACAGTACATGGTGGAGACACTGAATCCAGGTGCATTTCTGACCACAAGGATTTCCCTTTTTCCATTATGCCAGAAACTTAATGTAAAGACCCCCTGCCAAAACTGACAGAGAAAGAGACTAAAGAAAATAGCTAATACCTTTAAAAAAAAATCTCAACATTGTGTTAGCAGCTTTTCTGTCACCTCACTCAATTCATACAATCACCCCATGGAGTAGGTGTTGTCACTATCTCCAGGTACAATCAAGAAAGCTCAGAGGGGTTCCTTGTTTCACCTGGATATGCTGCAGGTTGAAATAGAGAAAGGAGAAAAAAAATCGAGATATTAGGTAAACAACAGAAGAGAGACAGACAGACAGAAGCTGTATGTGGGCGAGGGGAGAGGGCAACCATCTTCAGAGAAAGCTGTTGCCTGGTGCTCCAGCTCATGGGCTTTGCTCTCTAGACGAGAGGGAAGCTGGAAGGAAGGCCTCCTAGAGGGCGGGGATGGTGGGGGAAGGCAGATTATCAATTTATACTAATGAAAATACAATGAGTCATGAGTGTCGTAGCCAATAAAAGATAGCAGGGATGACTGGACAGCCAATAAATCATTTCTGAACATTAAACTTTCTGTTTCCTGAAGGTTTGAGATTGTCTTGGGCAGGGACTGAAGCCCCAGACATGTTAACATGCCCAACCAGTTAAAATGTTATGATAAGTGAAGAAGCAGCCCTCCACTTTTAAAGTCAACAAATTCATTAGGCCTTTAAAATACTTCCAATCCCTCACAAGCATGGAGCACATGAGTCAATACCACTTTCATGTACACCCTGTTAGGTAATGTTGTCCAAACTTACCTGATCATATGACCACCCAGGACACCTGCTAAACGTACAAACTCCCAGGTCTCCTATGGACATTGTGATTCCGTACGCTAAAAAACCAGAAGTCCAGGGGAATGTGTGTTTTGAATAAATGATTCAGGTGATGCTTATCATCAGGCTAGTTGGAAAAACTATCTTAATGGATTCTCACAACAAGCTTGCAAAATAGGTATCATGGTCCCCATTCTATAGATAAGGAGAGTGAGAGTCAAAGAAGGGAAGAGACATGCCCAGGTTACACACCTAGTATGTGACAGAACCCAGTGTGTATGCCACTGCACTTCAGTCTATCCGTGCCAGAGTTAGCTTCAGAAAGCCCACTGCTTGGTGTCTAAATATAGCACGAGGCACCCAGAAATGGGGTGTAGTAGATCAAGAGCCATCAGAAAGAATTAGGGAGAAAGTCAAAGTGCTGAGTGGAACAACATCCAAAGAAAAAGAGAAGGAAATCCAGATTCTCCTTCATCTCTAGCTCCACTTTTGAGCCCTCAAGGTTGGCAAGCCAATGGCATACTGCCTATACACACAACGCCCAGCATTGCTTTGACTAGTATGTCCGTTTGGCTAAAATGATCAAAACATTTCTTTCACTACTGCACAAAGGGGGAAAAAAAAAAAACCTAGAGAAAGGTCCTCTCAGAAATAACTTTGGACAATTAATGTCACACCAAAAGAGGAATGACCAAGATGATATCTTCACCCACATACCGCTCTCCCCATCGGTGATAATGATAATGGTGACTAATTACATCTTCCAGGGTAGAGTTCAGACCATTCCTCCAGAGTCCTCTCTGCCAGAGATAGGTGAGCACCTGAGGCTGGCAGAGGCCATTTTCATGTGCACATGGATCCCCTCACCCTGAGACCTTTGGCTAATGATCATTTCACCGGGAGGAGGGTGTGGGAGGGGCTGACATGAAGAATGACGTGCTTGTGAAACACGTCCTCTGCTATCTCCTTGCTAGAAGCCCCTGCGGCTGAACTATCGCACCCTTATCAACTGCCTACAAGAAAAGGCCCAAACCTATAAAATGAGATAGACAGGAGGTGTGCAGAGGAAATGGTACTGCTATTCCAGCTCCCTCTGAGTTTAAATAAGGGGGAAAATGGATAGGATTTGCTGCCCACCTCCCGTGAGCTGACTTTAAGATACACCAGCTGCCTTCCTAAATGACACAGCTTGATCTGTCCTCAGGGAATGATCCCCTTCCTCACAGGCTGGTTCAACCAGATTCTAAACCGTTTTCAAGATAAGAAGACCTGCCCCCCCACCCTATGCATCCCCTTAAATCTGGGGTCAAGATGACAAGACACTTGCCACACTTACAGATGTCATGTCCGACCTGTCTATATACATCCATGAACACACCCACTCTGTTAATTACAGCAGCGCAATTTCACACTCAATGAGTATTTTGTAAAAGTCTGTCATGTAGCACATACTTTATTTTTAACATTCATAATTTACTGAAAAATAGTTGTTGACTTCCACATACATACTTTTATAGTATGGGATGAGTAGGGTACATTTATATAAAAAGCAAAACAAATCCATAACATGCCCATCCAGTTAAAATCAGCTTCCTTTAAAAACATATCTCCTGTCTTAATTTTAGGGGCCACAAACACACACACACACACACACACACACACACACACACACACACACACACAGAGTCACGCCTGCATAAAGATGTTCCGGTCAATGGCAGACCGCATATACAACAGTGGTACCCAAGATTATAATGGAGCCGAAAAATTCCTATCACCCAGTGACACCTTGATGATCCTGACCCTGTGTAGGCTCTAATGTGTATGTCTGTATCTTAGTTTTTAATGAAAAAGTTTAAAAAGTAAAAGAAAAAATTTTAACAGAGAAAAGCTTATAGAGTAAGAACATAAAGAAAAAATATTTTTGTACAGCTGTACAACATATTTGTATTTAAGTATTATTATAAAAGAGTCAAAAAGTTAAAATTTAAAGTTTATAAGGTAAAAAAAGTTACAGTAAGCTAAGGTTAATTTATTATTGAAGAAAAAAAAATTATACAGTAATGCCCTAGGTCTCACATTCTCTCAACACTCACTCACTGACTCATCCAGAACAACTTCCGGTCCTGTGAGCTCCAGTCCTGGTAAGTGCCCTATACAGGTATACCTTTTTTTAAATGTTTTCTACTATATATTTTTACTGTACTTTTCTGTGTTGAGGTATGTTTAGATACACAAATATTCACCACTGTGTCACAACTGCCTACAGTATTCAGTACAGTAACATGCTGTGGTTTGTAACCTAAGAGCAATAGGCTATATACCATATAGCCTCCGTGTGTAGTGGGCTAAACCACCTAGGTGTGTGCATGTACACTCTATGACGTTCAAACAACAATAAAATCACCTAAGGATGCATTTCTCAGAACACATCTTTATTATTAAGCAACCCATGACTCTGTGTGTGTATGTGTGTGTGTGTGTGTGTGTGTGTGTGTATACATGTATTTTTTTCTTTTATTCACCATGTAAAAAGTGCCTTTGGAAAAAGTTACATTTCACTCTGGATTTTTCACATTTCCTTCAAAAGTGTCCAATTTTAATGAATGGTCTTCACCTTGGATACTCACATTCCAGGCCTCTTGGGGCAACAGCGTTTGGGCATGTGCAGAGGAGGTAGAAGATAGATTCAAGATGTTTCGAGTATGCAAAATCACATGCAGATGTACAAACAGTGTGTCCAGTCAAAGAGAGTTAAGAAAGCAATATATATACAGACACCCGAGAATGGAAGATGGCAAATAAAACCCGACTTGTAATTAACATACCGTGCTGCGACACCTGTTGCCTTCCACGATAAGAAGTCTGGGAGATCAAAGAAATGTCCCGCCTTATCCCAGCAAGTCTCTCTCAAGTTCTGCCAAATTAAATATACATTAGAATCAACAATGGGTTTTTTCTACCCCTCTCCTCTTTCAATAATGTTTTAAAATTTTCAAAACAAAAGCACAGCCAACAATGTCCATAAAAACATTTGTTCAGGGGCTTGGTGGGGGTGGGGAATGATATAAAAGCAGTACTTGTACAGGAAAGAAAAACTGGCAAGTATTGATCTTTCCAAAAATGACCATAATTTCCCTTTTAGCCCTGTTGGCCAAACTGGAGGGAGAGAGAGCATGCTCTTAGAGGGTATGCAATCCATCTTCCCAGTGATCAGTGAAAGGATACACTTCGAGCCACGTAAGAAAATTTCAACACTGAGCAGCAACACTAAGCTGGGAAGAAACTACACTAAGAAATCACCCAGCAAAACTAAATGCGCCCTGCCATGTAAAATTCTCCACATGCCAGATGGTTCCAAAGGCAATAGAAATAAGATGGCTCCTGCCCTCAAAGAACTTCCAACTAAGCCAGAGAGAATGGCCACATAATCAACCATTATTATACAACTTTTAAAGATTTATTTCTTCCACATTGCCAAATGGCCAGACTTTTTCTTGCAGCTGGGCTTTTCCTTTCCTTTGCTGCCTCTGTCTAGAGCATTTGTTCCTCACCCACCACCTTGTTCTCTCCCAGAATCTACATCCTCCTGTCCCCTTCTGTCAACCCTACCCACCATTCCTTGGGAAAGGTTTCCAGGATCTCCTACTCAGCTTTAGGCCTGGTTGTCACACAACCCGTACCACCCCACAGTTATTTATGTAGTGTCTTTTATTCCTGCTAGACTATAAGCTCTGTGAGGTCAAGGATCCTACCTGTCCTGTTCACCACATCTGATGATTGTTTCCCCTCCTCTATGCAAACTGAGTGGACCCTCAGCTGCTGAGTAGACACAACACAACTCTAGCCCCTTTACTATTAATATAAGCTCTGGACTGCACCAGGTATGAACCTGGGATCTAGCTGAGCCAATCAAGTTCCTTCTCCCAGGAATTTAGAATCAGGACCCAATGAAGCCATTTAACTCCTGCCTGTGAATGGAACTGGAGATGAGATAAACTTGGAAACTGTGACATTATCATTTTCTGCCAAGCACCTGGAGAAGTAAAACTTCACAAAGAGAAAAGAAGACAGAAGCACTAGCAAGAAAGGTTTCCTACCATCCAGGCAACTTTCCATGCCCTAGTTTCAATTATTCTCTCTCCGAGGAGCTACAAAAAAAAGGAATTTGTCATAAGCATAAAGGTATCTTTGGGAACCTATGGGCCACAATGCAGAAGGTCCAAAGAGACATACATCTGGACCAACTACAGGGTAACATACAATAGGCACTCAGTAAATACTTGCTGAATTACTAAACACACTGCTTGCCTTCGCCATCCAGTCCCTCTTATGTGAGGAGTTCTTCAGATTTGATAAAGGACTTCAACATGTGTAATCATCTCCTTAGAGCAGCCGCAAAGTCCTAGGTGCTATTATACTTATTTTACACACATGCAACTGACCTTTACCTGTATTTACCCTCAAATTCTGTAAATTCTTCCTACACGCTGTTTCCCTATCACCACTATATGAACACACACATCTATGTACAACCAGGCACTACTCCAGGTACAGGGTCCTATTAAAACAATATCAAAAGGGTTCAGATGTAAAAGGCAAAATATTAACTCCATTCTGTTGTTGTTTGTTTTAAATCCTAAGCATTTAAGTGAAAGCTTATATCTGGAAAGGGACCCGTCCTAAATGTCTCTTTGAATGCCTATCCATCTTAATGTTAAAAAAAGCAAAATTTAAAGTACACTAAAAACACCTATCACAGCTATGAACTAGTAGTATCTCTATATACTAACAAGTCACACTCAGAAAATGGTAGCCTTTGAAACTATGTGAGTCAAACTACCAGTATGCCTTTTGGATAATCCCCCAAATCTATTTCCATGTGTTCTGCGGTTTCAGAGATCAGTGGTCAGGGAGAAGGAGAAAAGGCAGCCTCCGCCTAAAGGTTGCAGAAATCCAAGGCCAGTCACCAGAAGTGAACTGCCAAACCACTACAGCAACAACCAGTGCTTCAAGCCAAAGCTCAACAATCTTCCTAAACTCAGAAAAAAAACACATCTGTTAGATCTTGTATATGGTCATTAACGGCCTTGTATCATATAATGAGAGCTTTCAGTTTGCAGCCACACAAATGGTCGCTATAGACAATGGAACCCAAGTAGAATGTCTCAAAGAGAACTTCAGGCCTTCTGCCAAAATGAGACACTGGGGGTAGGAGAAGTGAGAGGTCCATGGGGTATCGTTCCTGAGACCACATGACCTTCATCGATCAAAGCTGGAGGTCTAACCAACCTCTCGGTGGGATGAGGAACCAGAAACAATATGCTGTTAGAGGGGTGAGGTATCTTCAAGAACACACACGGTCTCAGAAGAGAAACTAGCAGTATTCTCTGCTTTCTCTGCAAAAGTGAAGTCTGGAAAGTAGCCAGCAATGAGAAGGAGGAAGAGTCTGGACAAGAGGGAATGTCTCCAGAAGCCTGATTCCTTACTTTGAGATGCTGACAGGCTTTTACAGGGATCCCATGAAGTTCTTGTATTGGGATACATGATTCACAAGTGCTTTGTCATCAAATGCCAGGTTGGCCAAGAGCATATTAGCCCCTATAGACGGATTTTTAATCCAGCTCTGTGGGAAAATCTCCCTGTCCCTCCTCCTCCCCAGCCAGCACAGTCCAGGCCAAGGGCCTCATACTTACTGAATTAATTCTATTCTTGCAACCATTGGGCCTGCATCAGGACACAGTGATTACCTCTTATTTCCTCCACAGTTTACAAGAGTGTCCCCATGTGCCTCATCTCATTTGATTCTCGGGGTGGTTCAGAGGTGTGTAGGCAATATACAGTACTCTCACAGTAAGGATGGAGGACCCGAGCGTCAGACACAAGGGCTTGGCCAAAGTCGCACAGGGTTTCCAGCTCTAAAGTGAGCATTATGTCCTCCCATTACGTCACTATGCTGCAGTTTCTACCCTGAAGCTCCCACTTAACTTCTATGTACCTAACAACACCCCAATGCACAACAGATGCAGGGGTTAGAGACAGAACACAGGGCAGGCCCTCAACACACGCCAACTTCAGTTCTATCTCATTATGTGATAGCTTAATACAGTTCAAACTAGGAGCTCTCTGTGCTGAATGAGTTAAGTCTTTCTATCCTCCAGTTACCAAGCAACTAACAAAAACTAGTCTTTTCAAGAAAAAAAAGAAACCAGCAGTGATTTGGGGTGTATGACTTGGCACAAAAGGCTTCTACATTCCAACAACAATCCTTTGAGCCAAGCAATCCCCCGGCTTGAAAGCAACCAAACAGAACAGCTTTTTTTTTTTTTTTTCTAAATCATCTATTACTTCATAAAACCACAGCATTTCTTGGGAGGAGGCTACTACTCAAAGCTCACACAGCTGCGGGTCTCAGCAGAGGGTGGAGGTAGGGTAGTTAAATCCAAGATTCAAGGCAGCAGCCGCCCTGCCAGCCTCAGGGCAAAGAGAAGCAGCTTTCACCCCTTCCCTCTCACTGCAATGTCCAAGAAAGCATGTCCAGGGAAGCTGTGAGGTTTCTGCTGCTTCTAGACACTGAGGGAACTTGTGGGGAAAATGAGGCAGCTGCTGCAATGACACTAGGATCTACGAGCAACATGAGAAAACAGGGATGACCAGATAAAAAAGATCATCCAAATATTTAATTATTACTTGCAAAGAGATTCTATCTGGGCTATCTATTGTGTGCAGTGAACAAAAGGGAGGGGACAGAACTCCCTAATTCCCCACTCAATAAATGAGCCTGTCTACACATTCCAAGTACTCACAATGTTGTTTTCCAGCAAAACTACCCATGAAAGTGCAAAACCATACCTTCACTCTATGTTTAAGACTCCAAATTAGGCTAATCGCCCAAAGAGAAAAGATGTTTCAGGAAGAAACTTAATGTCCAATATCATTCTTAAAAGAAAAATGATGCTGGAAACATGGGGTGGGTCATAAATTCCAATCAGAAACTTCTCAGAATGAATAAAACAATTGCGTGTTTCAAACTCCCATCCAAAGAGATAAAGAGCGAACACCAGAAATATTTCAAGTCAGGCAGGCAGATAAGCTGAGAGGTTTGCGCTACCAGAGGCATCTTAATAAAAACTTAAAACTTTCCATTCCATTCCTTTGTTGAACATGGTTCGGCAGCTCCTCATGGCCTAGAATGCCATGTTAACTCCTTAGGACAGCTCTCAGGACACTTAACAACCTGGCTCCAACTTGGCCATTATCATTATTATGATTACTTTCTGGGCTCATCCCCCATCATCACCCCCCTAGCCCCTCCACTCTGCTCTCACCTTATTTCTCTGACCTCCCAAATGCATTATGTTCTTTTCTATGTTAACACTTCTGTTTAGGATAGTGCCTCTACATGGACTGACAATCCCATTTTCTCCCGTTATCAAACTTTTTTTTTTTATTTCAGGATATTATGGGGGTACAAACATTTTGGTTACATGTAATGCCTTTGCCCTGCCCAAGCCAAGGCTACAAGCGTGCTCTTCCCCCTACAGTGCACTCCATCTCCATTAGTTGTGAGTTTACCCATCTACCCCCCCTACCTGATCAGCATCCAGTGAAAATTACTACCATGTGAGCACCTTAGCATTGATCAGTTAGTGCCAATTTGATGGTGAGGACATGTGGTGCTTGTTTTTCCATTCTTGTGATACCTCACTTCAAAGGATGGGCTCTTGATTCAAATCTAGCTCAGATATCACCTTTCCTGTGAATCCCTCCATCCCACGCTGTATCCTACTTATATATTCATGTACCTAAATCCACCCTGAAATGACAAACTTCTGTAGGGCAAAAGCCAAGCCTAACTCATGAAAAAAAAAAAAAAATGCAAAATGTTTCAGGGGTTATTAAAAAATCCAAAGCCAA